AAATCAAGTAACAATAGGAGATATATATATATAAAAGTTACTAGGCTATTAACCTATAGAGAAGGTATATCACATACTTTCACCAGATGAGATGAAAGTGTCAAATATGATCTGAGCTCCATTGAAGAAGTCTCCAAACTGTGCTTCCCACAAGATCAGGTTATTGGGACTCTCTATACTCATACCATACTCAAAGCCTAGGACAGCTTCTTCTGATAGAATACTATTGCACACCTGGAGGTTGGAAATAAAATATGTATGCATTTCTAAATATGAAATAAAACAAACACAAAACCAAAATGTAAATACATTATTCTAAAGGTAAAATACATATATAAACATATTAAGCTAACAATGTAAAACAATCTCTATAACAGATAAAAAAAAACAACACCTAAAACCACTAATTGAAATGTAAACTAGTTGAAAGGTAGATTAGGTAGTCTTTGTGAAACTACTAGTTTATGGGATTAATGATTTATAAGATATTATAACAGAAAAGTATTCAGGTGCATTCATTACATTGACCTCATACGTCTTATTTCTTTGTGTGCTGATACATTACCGTGCAAGTTGTTCTATAATTCTGAATGTATGTCATTAATGAAAACTTTTATTATTTTTTGAACTGAAATAAAAAGTAACATACAAGGAAAAGCTGCTGAATTAATTTTTTTTAATTAATGAATTTGTCTTGAGACTTCTTTTCTGGATGTTTCAAATTCTTAAGTGCAAGGTACATGAGATATGCTTTTTGTATACAGCATGATGTATTGTAATTACTACTGTATGTTATACTGTTCTCTAAATAAAGTACACTATATTATTTATTTATTGTTGCTTTCATTAACAACATTTGTTGTGCTATTTAATGTATTGAATACCATATCTTTTAAATGTTTCTTAACAAAAGATAAATATACCATTGATACTAACGTATCACTTATAATCTATATCTGAATGTCTTTATGGCTAGAGAGTAGAATATTAGCATTTGCAATATAAATTTATCCATATTTCCCTGTTATTGGCAATAGTGCTTGGCTGTGGTTGACACAAGCATATAGTTCAAAGCATAGACAAAGTTGAAAGGTAAATTATATAGTCTATTAAGAATCACTAGATGAAATGTAGATCATATGGTCTACCGGAGACTGTGAGTTAAAGGTATATTAGATGTCAATACTTTCTCAAAAACCACCAGTTGAAAAGCAAAAAAGGTAGTCTACAAAAAACTGAGTTAAAGGTATATTAGATACCAATACTTTATTAAAAACCACTAGTTGAAAAATAAGTAAGGTAGTCTACTCAATACTATGAGTTAAATATATATTAGATACCAATAGTTTGTCAAAAACCACTAGTTGAAAAGTAAATAAGGTAGTTTACCAAACACTGTGAGTTAAAGATATATTAGATACCAATACTTTTATCAAAAACCACTAGTTGAAAAGTAAGTAAGGTAGTCTACCAAACACTATGAGTTAAAGATATATTAGATACCAATACTTTGTCAAAAACCACTAGTTGGAACGTAAGTAAGGTAGTCAACCAAAAACCAAGTTAAAGGTATATTAAGCACCAGTACTTTGTCAAATACTACTAGTTGAAAAGTTTATACGGTAGTCTACCAAAAACTGTGAATTAAAGGTATATTAAGCACCAATACTTTGTAAAAACCACTAGTTGAAAAGTAAATTAGGTAGTCTACCAAAAACTGAGTTAAAAGTATATTAACCACCAGTTCTTTGTCAAAAACTACTAGTTCACAAATTAAATAAGGTAGTCTACCAAAAAACTGCGTGTTAAAGATTTATTGGGTTACAATACTTTGTCAAAAACCACCAGTTGAAAAGTAAGTAAGGTAGTCTACCAAACACTATGAGTTACAAGTATATTAGATATCAATACTTTGTCATATCAGTTTTAAAACAACAAAAAACGTTTTTGTAACTTGAAAAAGGATTTCTCTACTTATAGATTACTACCATTTGAATAAAAACATTATATGAACTCACCTTTACCAAGTGAAATGAAAAACATAAAATTTTGTTCTGTCTCATTTTAAGTCAAAGTTTTGACTTTAGAATGACTCACTTTTAAACCATGAAAGACAACTGTAAAAGATTTTTCAACTCATGCCATTTTTTTAATGAAATTTCCATTTTATCTATTTCTTTGTAAAATAATTCATATGTTAATCAAGAAATCTTAAAACATTTGTTTTGGGAAATTTCATAATTCATTTTAATGAGCTTTAACGTATGCTGGTACAGAATATAGCCAGGTAATGTAGACAGATGTTTAACTTTTTCTCTTTTAAGTGATTGTTTTCGTTTTGCTATTAACAAAATATATAAATGTTTTAATATTATTAACTTCAGGATTTTTTGTTGTTGTTGATAAAACAAAGAACATACATAGAAAAGAAAGCTCTATTATTTTTTGTAAAGCATAAAATTACACAATAGACTATCAGTGCTGTGCTCACCATGAATATTGAAACCTGGTTTTTAGCAATTTGAGCCTGTAGACTTACCACTGAGCTGCTGGGGGGCAGGAAAAGAAAATCATTTTTATACCTCAATACTTATCTTATAGTAACACTAATGATAAATTCTGTAAAATTTGAACAAATTTATTTCCATAAAGTCACTTTAATATTGAACATAATAATTTCTACTGAAATAAAAACTGACAGTTTCTATATGTTTCTTATGACCATAAAATAGGTATTTATACTACAAACCTCATAGAAACCTTGCTGATCAGTTACCATATGGTTCAAAGGAACATACATCTCATTTGTTTTCTGGTCAATCAACATGCCATGTCGCTGGCTGAAAGTGCCCCGTCCTACATCCTGCCCACTGATGCGTACATTAAAACCTAAAAAAAAAAATGGAATCAAACATAATTACCATTGGGTAAATGAATAGCAAAGAAAAACTTTAAAACCATTATGAATCATAGTTAGGCCTAACTATTATGATGAGCAAAGAAGTTTGTGGTTATTTTTTAATGCAAAGCTACAAAATGGGCTATTTGTGTTTTCTATCGACTACAGGGAATCAAACCCCAGGTTTTAATGTTGTAAGTCTGCAAATTTACTGCTGATCCATCAGTGGATATGAGCAATGAAGGTTTGAAATATTTAATTGTGATGTATAAAATTGTCATTAGGATGCAAAAATGTTTATACAGGTGTATCCCAGGATGTGCACATTGAAAAGATTGTTTACTACAACCTAAACCATAAACAGACATGAATAGATATAATAAAGCAAATGTCTCAATATTTTATTTGTGCTTTAAATATATATTTATGCGTAATTTAATTGAATAGCAACTGTTGTGATTTTTTTCTATCCAAGTTTAAAAAACATTAATTACCAATTATATCTAACAATAAAATGAGTATTTGGTTATGTTGCTTTTACTGCTGACCTTGGTAAAGGAGAGAACCAATAGCCAAAGCCTCTGCTGTAGCCCAGTTTAAATTAGTTCCTTCTTCCACTTTTTGAAGTCGATCCAATACAAAAGATTTTTGAAGGGTCGGGTGAAGGTTCTACAATAAAGCAGATAATTACCGAACCAATAAAAAAGCACTTATAAAGATAACATTTACAATACCTACTTCAAATACAAGCGTACACAACTATCTCTCAAATGTTCTTTTTATAGTATAGCACATACTGAGCCCAAATTGTTTAAAATCAAAATAACACAGTTAATATTTGTCTTTTTTACAAGATATTGTAAAAATATACATTTAAGTTATTGTATTCTAACTATTATTTGTTAGGTATATTTCTCAATAATTCTTGCACATTCAGGCTAAATTTCAAAATACTTAGTCTGGGGAAGAGCTACAGTTACTTTTCTTAACATTCTAATGTGAAAAACAAAAGAGATTGATTCTAACTTTAATATTATACATATATCTTTGAAGTTATCATTACATAGAAAGATTTAATTTGCTCTTTTCAAAACTGTATTCAGTCTTTCCCTACAATTATTGGTTCTACTACAAAATTTTTTCACTTCATCTTTAAGCTGGTCAGGATTAACACATCGGATAAGAATTATAAATGTCAAAATTTCCAATTTTTTTGAAAATGCTTTTCTTTCTTCTTCATAGCATGCTATTATATGAAAGATTTATTTTCTTACATTTATCTGTGTCATTTCAGTTTGACGACTTATGATGACATAATTAGAAACCTTGAAACAAAAAAATCTATATACATCAGCTTTCATTTGAACTAAATGTTAACACATCTTTCTACAATCTGGTACTTACAAAATCATCAGGCACTTGAACTGACTTGGCACCAACAAACTTTAGCAAGTCCACAGGAACTCCAGTGTCCCAAGAAGTTACTGATGAGGAAGGTTGGACTAAACCAGTCCATTGTCTTTTTAAGTGTTTAGCCTTGAAATATACAAATAAAGAACAATGACTAAATTTATCTTTTACATTAACAGTCATTGATTAGAAGAAAATCTAAATTTTAAACAGTAATGTTAGTACAAAAATTAAGCAAAACAAATTAATCAAAGAACAGTGATGAAGAATAGTGAAGATGATGATTATTTGGATACAAAAAATACGCTTAATACTAAGTATAGTAATTATAACCATTGTTAAGTTAAGCTTATATGAAAGACTAAAGATTAAATAAAAACTTGAATCCTTTCTTTTTTCTTAAACTGTTCTTTATTTGTGAAACACTTCATTGTACCAAACTCTTCTTGATTTAACCAGTTTCATAGAATCACAGGTAATTCTTCAGTATCAAAACAATAAAAATCAGAAAACAACAATTTTTTGAAAAGATTAAATTTAAGTTTGAAATTTATAAGATAAACAAATCTGTTTTTTCAATTTAAAATCATTAATAATTAAAATTCATATTTTTTATTTAAAAAACAACAACTCAGGTTATACAATAAATTATCTTATTAGTAGCATTTAAAATAAAAAAAATATTTTTAATGTTGATGTTAATTTAAAGATCGTTTTTTTATCAGGTTAGCATCACCCATATTTGCAAGTTAGGTAAGCTCATGTTGGTCATAAAAAAATAACCCACTGTGGAAATTTCGGTTTCCTTCCTTGAGCAATATCATTGGCCAAAAATAAGAAGAGTTAACCTATTTTTAGCTTCAGTGGGCAACTGGCAGCTCCAAATCTATAAATTGAAATTACCCCTGACTGCTTCAACAACTGTAAAAATATTTGCAATTCTAATTGAAAATGAATCCTTTATCTTGCAAATTTAAGAGCCATAAATATTCAAACCACTTAACATGCTCTTGTTGTGGTTGTGAATGTGATGGATTATCAATTTCTGCTAAAATGAGTTGGAGACATGGAGAAAAGCAGCTAAAAGTGTATTGGAAAGCACCAATAATGTAACAAATAGTAGAAGAAAATGACCATGCCCAAATTACAGTGAGAATATTGTAAATTTCAATGATGAAAATTACTATGAGAATTACTATGATTATAATATTTTGGCCTTAACATATTCACTGTCAATGGACACACATGTGTCAAAGGGAATGTCAACCAGTGCTACTAACACATATGTGCAACGTTGAAGCAAGTGCATTTTATTGGAGTTGATACAGTAAAAGTCAATTCTGCTGGGATGGTACTTGCTTGAGAGTCTCCTCTCATACAAATTTTGCTAGGTTGGAAATTTTATTATTTTATATATATATATATATATTTTATGGTTGGATTTTATAAAATGGATAAAAATAGTGCTCCTTCAAAGCCCATGCTATGAAAGATGAATTAAAAGCAATAAAATATGTTTTGAAGGGGGAAAGCATGAAGACACAATGTATTATTGTGAAAATTGTTTTAAAAAACAGCCCTTTGTATAGAGCCATGTTTTACAAAAGCTCATCAGTAAATAATGAGTCCAAAAGTAGTCTAACAGAATGTTTTTCATTATATTTGCCATTTTACTTATGATATACATCAGAAAATATCATTAACAGATGGGATATTTTCATTACTATAATTTACTCTTTTTGTGCGTTATAAAAAAATAAACCAAAACCATGACAGGAAATATAAAAAAAAATTATACACATGTGCTTATGGTACAGGTTTTAGCTGAATAAGCACATATGCCCATAAATACTGATATTATTTTGCATTAAAAAATGCTCCTAATGAGGATTAATCTCTGTGTCAGCAGTGAATGTGTTCACTGAAAACAGTGGTGATGTAGGCGATGACGACAAAGAAAATGCATATGTCATGAAATAATGCAAAAAAAATATATATATATATATAATATCAGAAATGTTTTTGGAACAGATGGTTCTTTGATGAGAAATTTACAAATTTGAAAATCATGTTAAAATGAATACTTTAAATCTACTGATAAAGCAAGTCTTTTAATTACCTCCAGCATTTCAGTATTGAAGAAAATATGCTATATTATCTTACCTAATGATGCAGACCAATTATTGGTTAGCATAGGAAAACAAATTGTAAAAGGAAGCAGCAAAACCAAAGAAATTATATCCAGTAACAATTTAAAGAAAAATATAATTGTAGTACAATAAAAAATTCCACTATAATCTTTCCAGAGAATAGTGTTATTAGCTCCATTGTGTGCTTTACTACACAATGAATTTTCCATTTGTGTCAAATCAATACCAAAACCCAACAGACAACCAGATTTTTTTTTTAAATTTTGATATAGTATCTCACAAACCCATTATAAATAAGGCTGTTTACAACTGCAGTGCTAGTTACCTAATATTCCTAATATATAGCCAATATTCATTAATACATCGATCTTTATTTAATCACCTTCATTCTTACTTAATATTTTGCTCTAAAGAAAAGCTGTGAAATCCTCATCATTAGTACTTTTGTTTAGTATCATTCCTGTCATCAAATTCCAAGGTCAATTTTTGGTAATCCTATATCTGGTAGAAAATGTTACCCAATTTGCCTATACAACTGGTGTTAATGTTAACAACAAAATAACTATAATGCAATACACAAATTACAAAGACTACAGAATTGTTTCTGACAACTAGTTTACTTTCTTTGTCCTGAATAGCCTTGATGTTCTTTTGGAGCTACCCACACTATAATAAAGTGCAAACATCTGGACTCCAATTCATTAAACATCTCACATCCAAACAGCTTTCAATTTCAATTTAAAAAAGCAATAAAATTGTAAAAATATTTTTCAAAGATTAATCATTTTTCTTTTTCATTACAATTCCAAAATGGAAAAACTTTGAAAAAGATTCAGTCAATCCTTTAAAAAATTAGAATTATAGAAATAAAAACTTTTATTTCCTGGGAGGTCCAAATCTTCACAATTTCTAATATGACAACTGTGCAAATTAACTCATAGTCTTAAACTATCAACTTATCCAACATAAAATACTCCATTAACAAAACATTTTAAAACATAAATTAAACTTTTAGCATTACAATTAAAAGAATCTTTCACCTTAAATAATTTCTGCCCGTTTGGTTCAACAATTAAATTTCCTGGTTCACGATATCTATTTTTACACATTAACCCTCTTGCTATGGGTAGGTTAAAGTGAGCATGACACAACTTTTGCAGATTTTCATTCAAAATTTATTATCTGAAGTACAGAGTTTAATGTAAATTACTCATTATAATATAGATACAGGCAAAGTCTAATTTTTATAACTGTCCTTCTTTGCTTACAGATACATAAACTAGAAAGTCAAACCCACTGGCCACACCCACCTGTTACATCCTCGATTTCTCAAATTGACAATAATTCTCTCTGATGCTTTAAACTACATCACTTATAACCGATAGGAAGACAAAGTTTTAATATATATTACTATATTACTTTCTTTTCAGCACAGAGTACTGTCTATTCTGTCTTCAATTTGACAGTGATCAAGAAGCATTAGGAAATATTTTAAGGCTCTTATGCTATAGTTAGAACATTGTTTGTTTAGTGCATGTTATTATTTTGTGTTCTCAGGTGCATTATTTAAGTAAATAAAAATTATTTAGCATGCTAATACCATCAGTTAAAAAGTAGGTTTAAATTTTGTCATTAACTGACAATAAAAAACAACAACATAAGGTCAAAGTTAAGAACTATATTTTTTATTTTTCATGTATATTTATTGTTATAAAAGTAACTAAAATGTAGACATTACAAAGTTATTATGTTAAATAAGATTAGTTTAGGCAAGATAACGTAAAAAAGAAAATTCTACACAAACTATGCTCGTGAGTATCTCATGCATTATGTAATTCAATATGATAACGTAAGCTATGCATTTGCCAAATGGTTTACAATTTTGTGGCAGAATTATTAGTTATAAATGGTTCAAAGAGCAATTAAATAATAAAATTAAGTACAAGCTGATATATGCTGTTATGAGCCTTAAGCTATTTAGAATAAACAATTGTAGTTTCCTGTTATAATTTGCAGTTATTCTAGAAAGAAAAAAAAGGTAATTTAGATATGTATCGTATTTTTTTTATGGTGGTTAGGAGATCGGTCAAATCAGCCAAGTCCATATAAAGTTGGGGTAGAGAAAACAGCAGACAAAATATAAAGTTCAACTGGAAAAATAAAAGGTTTGATATATATTTAGGAGGTTTTGGAGGTTACAGAAAAGAAACTTGAGAATTTTCAGATGAAGAAAGTATTTATAATCTTAACATGAAAATCACTTTGCACTCGGAGCAGTCAACACTGATTCCATGTATTCATGGACAAATCTTTATTAAAAATTTTTAATTACAAAATCTGATTTTTTGTGTACAAAAGCCTTTTAATGTTTACTGAAAGCTTGCCAAATTTTGTAAAGATGCATGCACCACATTAAAAGTTATAGTATTGAAACTCTGGCGGCTACTTTGGGATTAAAAGGGCAGTATAAACCAAAAACCCTGTATGGAACAGGTTAAACAATTTTTCTATTACATGGTACAGTACCATTTTTATATTCTATATTTTAAAATTCTTAAAATATAACAATCCATATAAATGTGTAGGCTGCTATTTAACCCAAATTATTTAACAATTTTAGTAAACACTCTAACTTCTTATCCACAATATGATCAATTTATTTTTAAGTACATTGCTATTAATCAATAGCTATGGACAGTGAGTTGTGATTAATGGTTTTAACAATTTCATTATTATCCTTATATTTAATCCTTTCTTCTCCTATTACCTTTTCATCAAATTTAAAAACCTCTATCAACAAACTTTCTTGGATAATTACACTTTATCAAAAATTGTTTCAATTCTTTCAACCTAAAGTTTCTCACCTTTGGATTAGATATTAATGCAAATAACCTTTGTGCCACCATACCAGGGATATTTAGTTTTAATGATTCAGAGTGATTATTAAAATAATCCATATAGTTATGTGAATTTTTTTGGTTTACAATAAACTCCAGTCATAACTTTTTAGCCACTACACTACCATCTAGGAACAATTATAATATTTTCACTATACTCATATGTAAATTTGACTTTTTTCATGTAATCCATTTAAAACCTGTAAGAAAATTTCGATATCATAACTTTAGTTACAAATAATAAAACAACCATTGAAATGTTTTTTCCATGTTAATGTTAAATAAGTTATGTGATTAATTTGAAAATAGCTTGGACGAAGATCAAACATTTTACTTTCCAGACAACACATTACTAGCATTACATAAGTTGGTGAAACTTTTGTTTCCATAGCAATTCCTGAGATTTGATGAAACATTTCTTCTTCAATAAATAAATAATTAAATAGAACTAGATCTAGACTTTTCCAAATAACTTCCTTATTAAACCTCTTGTTAATACAATTCATATAATTATCAAAATAGTCCAAAATCATGTGAAATACTCAGACATAAAAGCAACAGCATCAAATTACTCTAAAAAATCATTCGGTTCTACCTTTTCAGGTAACTGATTTACAAAATCTTTATTGTTTTTGAAATAATTTTTCATATGTGAAATAAAATGTTTCAAAACAATATCCAGTAAGTTACTCAATGATTTAGTAATTGTATTTATTCCTCCTAGAATAGAGGAACTTGACATATCTAAAAGGTGGGCAACGAAAGATATTCTGATCTTACTCCATGAATTCTTTCAGTACATTACTTTTATGAAATTTTGGTAACACAAAATTTTCCTAATAATAAATTTTATTTCTTAAATAAACTTCCACAAGTCCATACATATTCTGTCAATTTCACCTTTAAGTTCTTTATATAAAAGTTTGCATCCTTAATAGATATTTCCTCAAGTGATTACTATTATTAAGGTGTTTTTTATGCCAAGTTCCTATAATAATTGGTTTTCATTACAGCCAAATCACTATTATTATCATCTTTTTTTTTAAAAGAATTTTGTCATCTCTTCTCAATCTATTCAAAGCTTTTTTTCTCTCTCTCTAGCTAATATCAACTTTTTACCTCCTTATAAGAAACAATTTATATAGATATTCCATTACAAATCTTGAAAATTGGGACCTCTCAAAATGCAAACATTTTTATTTCTATAATTCAAATTTTTTAATGGACTGAATGAACCTTTTTTTTCAGTTTTTTCCTTTTTTGGAATTGTAATGGATAAGAAAAATGATTAATCTTTGGAAAATACTTTAATTTACTGTTTTAAAGCTTCTTAATATTTTAAATAAAGCAATTAGGAGACCAGAATTTTTATAAATAAGAGTCCAGAGGTATTGGCATATAATTTAATGTATCTTAAGTATACTGTGGATAATTCCAAAGAAACATCAAGATTACTTAGAACAAATTGGATCATCAAATTTATTATGACCCCATCACTGAAAACATAACACAAGTTAATAAAAATATCTTTACAGAATTTCTGTCTGTAAGCTAGTGCTAGCTGATAAACTTTAACTATTGCCCGAGAGATAAAAAATATTAACAAAAATTTTAAATCAGAGTGCAATTACCTAAAAAAAAACAAAAAAAACAATATCATGAATACATGTCACTATTTTTACATTTTTCCTTCCCACAGTATTCTTGTTTATGTATCTGTATTTATTGAAATACATATCATGAAATTAATTAAGTATAAAAACTATAATGCAGAACTATATATATGTATATAATGCCAATCATGGAGTAAATTTATGACAATAAGAATAATTATTAGTATTCTTGAAGTATGCTTGGAAACAAGCCTGCAAAAAGTTATAACTATTTTTTCAAAAAATAATATCTGTAGTCTGCAAAGTTTGTGTACTGTATTATAGTAATTTTATCATTAACTTCAAAAATATTTTTATGTTGATGTTAACTTAAAGGACTATTTTTAATTATGATTTGATTTTAAATGTTAGTAATAATTTATTTTGTAACCTGATTTTTTACAAAAATCTAAAAAATATCAAATTAAAAAATTTATCTTGATTGTTTGTTTTGGGCAAAGCTACACGAGGGCTATTTGTGCTAGCCATCCCTAATATAGCAGTGTAAGACTAGAGGGAAAGCACCACCCACCACAAACTCTTGGGCTACTCTTTTACCAATGAATAGTGAGATTGACCGTCACATTATAACGCCCCACGGCTGAAAGGGCGAGCATGTTTGGTGTGATGGGGATTCGAACTCGCGACACTCAGATTGCGAGTCAAGTGCCCTAACCACCTGGCCATGCCGGGCCTAATTTAACTTGAGAAAATAAATTTTGTATATTTTACATAACATTCAAATTCATTATTTTTCAAAGAAGTGTTTAGTTATTTTCTGATTTTTTTGTTTTTATACTGAAGAGTATACTGTGATGATATGAAACTGCTTAAAAAAAAACAGTGTGGTAAAAATGTAAGAATTTGAGTTTTCTTATACATGTTCATCTTGAAGGGAATTGTACTACATATATATATATATTGTTACGACAGCGGAAGTCACGCGATGCTGGGAGCATGCGCGCTGGAGTTTCTAGAAGGATCATGAATTTTCCTGGCAACTCTAGATCTACTGAAGTCAGCTTTGTACCACGAGATAAGGTGTGGTTGTATAATCCCAGGAAGACCAAGGGGAAGTCTCCTAAGTTGTTTTCTCCATGGGAAGGCCCATATGACATTATAGATCGTCTCTCAGACGTGACTTTTCGAATAAAAAGTGGTCGGCGAGGTAAGCCAAAGGTGGTGCATGCCAACAGGCTTTGGTGTTATCATGGTTCAGGAC